TGGTGGCCATGGTGGTGGCCGCGGTGGCCGTGGTGGCCATGGTGGCCATGGTGGTGGCCGCGGTGGCCGCGGTGGCCGCGTCACCTGGCGGCGTCCCTGCAGGTGCAGCAGCTGAGCGGGCAGCAGGCCGAGGCGGCGCTCCAGGCCGAGAAGTGGCAGCTGGAGTTCCGGCAGCTGCAGGAGAGATTCGAGGCCCTGAGCCAGGAGAAGGAGGTGGGGCGGGGTGGGGACACCTGGGGACAGGTGGGACACACCTGGGATACACCTGGGGCAAACCTGGGACACCTGGAACACGGCTGGGGACACCTGGGATACACCTGGGATACACCTGGGATACACCTGGGACACAGCTGGGGACATCTGGGACACACCTGGGGCACACCTGGGGACACACCTGGGACACACCTGGGGACACACCTGGGGACACTCCTGGGACACACCTGGGGCACACATGGGACACACGTGTGACACACCTGGGACACGCCTGGGGCACACCTGGGACACACCTGGGGCTCACTTGGGGACACACCTGGGACACACCTGGGGACACACCTGGGGCACACCTGGGACACACATGGGACACACGTGTGACACACCTGGGGACACATCTGGGGCACACCTGGCGCTCACCTGGACGCTGCCCCCGTGCCCGCAGCGGCTGCTGGAGGAGCGCGACGCGCTGCGCGAGGCCAACGAGGAGCTGCGCTGCGCACAGGTGCAGCAGAGCCAGCTGAGCCGGGCAGGTGAGTGCGGGGGGACGGAGCACCTGGGCAGGGGACAGACACCTGGGGAGGGGACAACACCTGGGCAGGGGACAGACACCTGGGGAGGGGACAACACCTGGGGAGGTGACACAACACCTGGGGAGGTGACACAACACCTGGGGAGGTGACACAACACCTGGGGAGGTGACAGACACCTGGGCAGGGGACAGACACCTGGGCAGGGGACAGACACCTGGGGAGGGGACGGAGCACCTGGGGAGGGGACAGACACCTGGGGAGGGGACAGACACCTGGGCAGGGGACAGACACCTGGGGAGGTGACAGAGCACCTGGAGAGGGGACAGACACCTGGGGAGGTGACAGACACCTGGGGAGGGGACAGAGCACCTGGGGAGGTGACAGAGCACCTGGAGAGGGGACAGACACCTGGGCAGGGGACAGACACCTGGGGAGGTGACAGAGCACCTGGAGAGGGGACAGACACCTGGGCAGGGGACAGACACCTGGGGAGGGGACAGAGAACCTGGGGAGGTGACAGAGCACCTGGGGAGGGGACAGACACCTGGGGAGGTGACACAACACCTGGGCAGGTGACACAACACCTGGGCAGGGGACAGACACCTGGGGAGGTGACAGAAACTTGGGCAGGGGACAGAGCACCTGGGGAGGTGACAGACACCTGAGGAGGTGACAGACACCTGGGCAGGTGACACAACACCTGGGGAGGTGACAACACCTGGGGAGGTGACAGATACCTGGGAGGTGACAGAGAACCTGGGCAGGTGACAGAGCACCTGGGGAGGTGGGGACACGCCCCTGACCAGCACAGTGCTTGTGTGGACACCACAGAGCCCCCATGGGGTTTGGGGGGCTCCGGGGGATTTGGGGCGCTCCGGGGGGTCCGGG